CTCTGGTTTTTTTCTTTTGGGGGTGTTGTCTTTAAAAAAAAAAAAAAAAAAAAAGCAAGCTCCACAAGACTAACTAACTGACAATGTTTTTCCCCCCTCTTCAATCTCTTTTCCCCTATGTCAAATCCTCCAGGTATGTCTGCTTCTCAGAAGTGGGGCTGTTACTTGCTTTGGTTCTTACCATATTTTTGTAAATACAAGCATTAAGACAGTCTCCACCAGTAGGACAAAAAGTTGCCCCAAATAGTCAGGGTTTAGTGATAAATGAAACCAGCGGGCATGCCTGACTGCCGTAGCACGGAGGTGATCTGTCATTCAAGTACAGCCTTAAATTAATATTTCTGTGGTTTAAGAGACTATTTCTATTGTATCTTTTTTTCCTAATTTATCTTTCTGCAGTTTGTTATGTTGATTTTGCAAACATTCCTGAGAGGAGGAAGGACCGAGTAAGGAGTGACTAGTTCTTCAGTGTTTATTCTCATGCAGCTTGTTTCTTTTCTGATGCTGATTTTTGGAGTTGTTTTCTGTTTTGTGTCTCTAGTCACTCATTTTTTTGTGATTGATCATGGCTGGTTTCATACACCCACTGCCCACAACCATTTTACTCTCTTGCAATCAAATCTGGCTGTGGGGACATGCCATGCTTACCCAAGAGTTTCCAAGCCTGCGACTACCATGGCAATTCAATCCACACTGGTGCACCAGATGAGGGTTCAAGACATGTGGGATGTAGTCATATCGTGGTCATTGGAGAGCCTGCAGTGGACTTCTGCCATAGCTTAGCAAGACAGACTATGCACGAGGAGCTGGAATTTCAGCCCTGGATGCGAGGCATCACCCAGCAAGAGAAAATGAGATTCATGTCATGACTGCTCTGTTGTAACTTAGATTTTCTGCTGTAAAACATGCTTCTCGGTCAATAGGGAGTCTTCATCTCGTCTCCTTAAATGTTTTTAGAAGATGGAGTGCTGTTTCTCTGATTCCCTCAAGCTTTCCTATCTTGTGGCAAGCCATTCGCCCCTCAGCCTGATGGGCATTTCTTCCCCAGCTGGCGCTCTCTTGCCTGACCTAGGCAGACCTTGGCTGTGCACCATAGGGATATTCCTCCTGCTGCAATTGAAGAGCTCGGTCAGCTTCATGCACTGCCAGCACCTCTAAGGACTGCCAGGATTGGAGGTGTCACCCCAAGGTGCTATCTATCCAGGCAACAGTACTCTACAGCCACCCAAGGACATCCCATGAGCGACTTTATTCATGCATGTTGGGCTCTCCTGGTGCCATGGCATGACAAGGACATACCCATGAAGATGAGCAGATTTGATTCACTGAATGCAATAGATCTGCTTTGTCATTGTCATCGTAATGTGGCTTTGACTGAGTTTTGAAAATGTTAAGGTGCACCTGGAAGTTACTTCCACTGTACTTTAGTAGAGCAGAAAAACACATCAAGATTGTGGTATATGCTTTAGGCAGTGTATGGCAGCAGGAAGCTTTTGGATGTCGTTGTTTTATTAGATGTGATATTTTTAGATCTTCATTCTCGGTGAAATCAATGCACAACAGATTTCTGGAAATCAAATTTCTGGAAGAATTTAACCTCACTTTTAGCTTAGTATCACTTTACTTTGACAAATATTCCAACTAAGAGCTAGAAAAAATAACTTTCAAGCTTTTTTTTTTCCTTCCAGGGAAAGAATTGAATGTTTAACAGATGATATTTCCTAAACCTGAAATAATAGGAACCTGACATTTTTATGTTCTTTGCATTATACCTAACCCAAACATGCCTTTACGGTGAGTGATGCGTTCCAGTACTTCCCAGTGTACTGACAGTTAAATAACAAGTGAGAAAACCAGAGCCATTGTTTGTGTCACCATTTGCAAGCACTTAACTTAATAAGCCGCAGGAGCCATTAGCATGGTGGGAAGTTTTCCTAGGAAAATCCCAGGGGCTAAAGTAAAACAAAACCCACTAGACTGAATGGGGCTGGCTTCAGTGGCTTTAACTCCCCAGTAACAAACGAGCCCACTGTTCAGAAGCTTGAGGCTACCCGTGCTTGCACAAAGGTGCAGTCCTGGGTGCTGTGTGCTCCTCTGCCACCACCATTGACATGTGAAGGACACTGGAAAAGTCAGCCTGGTCTGCAGCTGGGGGCCAGGGCAGCAGAAAGCCCACCTTACCCAAGCGGTTCTGGAACTGGGGACAGTGGGCTCCTCCTCCTCTCAACACCTTGGCTGCCAACACATCATTGATCCAGCTCCAGGCCTGGCATGAACAGCAGGATGGCAACTTGTGAAATATAATGGCTTCCATTCTCTTCCAGAGCTGGGTGGGAAGGCAATCCTTCGTTTTTATCTTTTTCCAGTGTAGCAATGGCTGCACAGAGCACTGAGTTTCTTGCTCAACCCCAGACCACTTTTTCTTTAGCGCAACCATGTCAAGCCTTAGCATGTAGGTTGTTGGACCTGTCTGAGATACTGAGGAGCCCAGACAGGCTCAAAAACTTCATCTTAGACCAGTGTTCAGTGTCTTTGGCTGCGTGTGGAATTCTGTCAAAGACTTTGTGGCTTTCTCAGGAGCAAATGCCTATGTGCTTCACCGTACTGCTTCTTCTTGTTGCTGCTTTTAACATACCCGAAAATGATAGCAACAGAATGTTCTGTTTGACATACTTAGTTTCTTAACAACAGATTTAAAAAACAAAAACAACAAAAATTGTTGGAAAATTGGAAGCTTTCAATTGCAACTTTGAACAAAGCTAGGAGAGCTTTCCTGTCAGCTCCATTGTTCTCACATTGGACTTTTCTGCTACAGGCCTGGTGAGGATGCTGTCATCGTCTTTTGTCCTTGACTGTAGATCCCATGACTTGCAGTGTTCCCGTCTCTGATGTTGTTCTCCCGAGGCAGCCTGTAATGAAGAAAATACATACACAAGCTGGAACATAGTCCACCGCTGCCTCACAAGCTAGGAGGTTGAACATAACATGCACAGTTTCAGCAGTGAGTGGTTGAATTTGAAAGATTGTCTTGGTTTCTGCAGAAACCAGCTCAGCAGAGCTGCTCCGTGCAGAGGGCAGCCTCTGTATCCACCTGGACAATCCTGCAAATAAAGAGATGTAGTTTTCTACTGTTCTGGGAACAGGTACAAGAAAAGGACAAAAGGCCGTAGTCCTTTGCATGGGTTTAAAGTGCTCTTTTCTGGGTTTGCTGGAACCTGAAAGAGCTGCAGACAAAAGCTGTGAAGTAGATTCATGCGTTTGATGCCACCTCGGCGTGGGAGAGTTTCATCCCTATTCTGTAAAATTGCTGCCAGCCCTTAACAAAGTCATTTGGCCAAAGACATTGGTGCTTTGAACTGGCAGCTGGCAGCTCGCCTCCCAGCTTCTTTCCCGTTGCCACCTTTGTTGGTCAACAAAGTGATAGGCATTGAGCGGCACTGTGGCACCATCACTTGCAAGCAAGCTCTGTTTAGGGATGCATTTTGGTCTGTAGGAAGCCTGTGTGTGGTTGCCTGGTTGGCAACTGATGTCTGTAGCCTGGCACACCCTGTGTGTTTGCAGAGCCCTTTGGAAAATGTTCTTCTGTTTGATCTAGGTGGGTTTGGTATCCAAACAGAACGGTGTCTGCACAGCTTGCAGCCACCACTGCCCAGGCTAGAAATAGCTGGCACCTTCTTGGCAGGCACAGCGAAAAGGCTGGGTGCTGTGGAGACTGACTGTAGTCAGCTGCTAGACCTGCAGAGAGCATCGCTGCAGGAAAAAAATTATGGAGGCAGCATGTTAACAAATAAATAGCACAGGGACAGGACAACCTGTTTGAAAATAGCACTCGTCCGGGTAGTGCTGGGAAGCCCTTATTGCTGCCGCCTGACCTAAGCCTGCCTGCCAGTGATAAGACTTTGGTTTCCACCTCAGCCAAGTATGTCAGCCTGGAAAATCTCAGGAGCACCATCTTCGTTCTGACACGATTGGTGTGTAAGGGCTTCCCCAGCGCTGCGTATATTTAAAACATCTTTAACCTTGCAAGAAGTTAGCATCTTCGTTTAACTCGGTGCTCCCAATAAAGTGCAAGGCGTTTGATTTCATTTCTGCATTGAGCTCCGAATTTTGTTCTGGGCTTTATCCCCCCTCAGAGCTTTGCAAAGCAGAGAAGGGAGGGGGAAGCATTTTAATCAGGGTAAGGCTCTTTGGCATTTACACTATTGAAGCCTGAGGAGCCTCTGAATTTCTGTTGAATAGGGCCCTAAGAAAAGAAGTAGATCTGTTGAAGGATGACATTTCAGTGCATGAAGGATGTGTGTTTAGGACTTTCCATTACATAATGGGGCTGAAATGGATTAACAAGACCCAGGCTTTCTTTCTCTTGAGAATTGCTGCCTGCACCACTCTTTTTCTATTACTGATGCTTCAGTCACAGCACTCACAGAAAGGTTTTCTTTGTTGTTATTAGTTTGAGAAGTAAATTGCAGCATTGTTTCTTCTGATCAAGAGATTGATTAGTCAGAGGTCTCTAGCTGAAGGGAAAAAATGTTCCTCATTATCAACTTTAAATGCAAATGTATTTGCCAAGCAGAGAACTTTTCAGATGGTGAGTGTGGGGGGGAATGCCTTGCTCTTTTGATGTGCTGCCCATAACCATTTACACATTTTTGAAAGGCAGCCCTCTCATCAGGTCAGTGAAGAAATAGTGTGGGAAAGATATTCTTGAAAGAGAAAATTAACCATTGCCGCTTTCAGTTGGAGGGTTCTCATAGTGTCTTGACGAGTAACGGTGCATTAGTATATTTGTGGGTTTTGTTGTGTTTTCTCCACTCTTTCTCTCCCTAGGTGCTTTCATAATCTGCTGGACCCCAGGATTAGTCTTGCTGCTCCTCGATGTTTGCTGTCCCCAGTGCAACGTCCTGGCCTACGAAAAGTTCTTCCTGCTCCTGGCAGAGTTCAACTCCGCCATGAACCCCATCATCTACTCCTACCGGGACAAGGAGATGAGCGCCACCTTCAAGCAGATCCTCTGCTGCCAGCGCAGCGAGAACGCCAACGGCCCCACCGAAGGCTCGGACCGGTCGGCCTCCTCGCTCAACCACACCATCTTGGCTGGCGTCCACAGCAACGACCACTCGGTGGTGTAGAGCCGCGGCCAGCCGCGTGGCCGACGAAGAGCGGCGGGCTGACGCTGTGGGGTGGGGTGGGCCCTCGGCCCCGGGGAAGGTAACCCACTCACAAGGTTTTCTCAAACACTAATGGACTACAAGCGCTTCTTTTTTGCAGGGAGCCCGACACACCGGCGCGGTCCAACCCCTTCCGCGGGACTGGCCGTGCTGCAAGGCCTTTGATTTCTGCTTTCAAAAAGTAGAAGGCAGATGCCTTTCAGTGGGAGGTCGTTGGTAGCCCATGGAGAGCCTCCCTGAGACTTCGTCGGACTTCGCTGCATCTTGGTGCCAGTCTGAATCAACTCTGATTAATTAAGCTTATACCTGCTTCACTGCATTTACATGTAGCCACTTAGTCTTTTTAAAAAGGGAGTAAAGGGGATAAAAGTATGCCTATCATTTAATAGACATGTAATATTTATCACCATCAGCATGCTTGTGGTGAACATTTTCTGTGCAGGGAGTAAAAGTTTGCTCTAGTCTTCATATTCTTAGCCACACTGCCATAACTACAGTAAAAACAAAAGTATTTTTTTCTAATACAGGCAACAGGAAGATGATGGAAACTGACTCTTCTTACCTTCATTACTGGTGTTAGAGAGCATGCATGTTCTGTGTGTATGCAGATTGTTTTAATTATGGAAAAAGAAAAAAAAAAAGCTCGTTGTAATGTCTGCAGGAAAGTAGAAAAGCGTAGACTGTATTCCAGTGTTTGTTTAGATAATGAAATAAACAGTACTCTAGTCACAAGGTATTTAACGTTCTTCTTTGAAGTGCGGTATGAAATGTGTAACACGTGAGGGGTCCCAAGTTTTTCATGGACAAGTTCTTAAAGCAGGACACATCCCTAAGGCCCTTAAAGGGCTACAGTCAGGTTGATAGATTTTAAAAGAAAATGTATTTATGGCATCGGAATGTTTTTCTTGTACATGGCAGTAAGCAAAGGGATTTTTAACGTGAAGAGAAGTATGTTTTGATGGAAACTTCCCTGTAATTGAAAACAAAACACCCTCTGCATTTTTGCACTGAGAAATATTTGTAGGGCATCCTTTAAATGATGTAGCCTTCATTTCAAAAGCAGTGGGCTACTAAAAACCAAGATACACTTTTGCTTTGTAAAGTCAAGACAACAGATGTAGTAGTCTATTGCAAATGACTGGATTGTGCTCCACAGAATAGCCACACATGCACATTGTTATGAATAGCTAAGCTAACGGATGGATTTTTTCATATGTGGCTGTTCAGAAAAGAAATGCCACTCATATGAATCCCAGTCTCCAAGAATCAGTGACATTAATCAAAACTCCTTTACGGGAGTAAATGGGAGCAAAGAGGGGATCTTGCTGATAAAAAACTTGGGACCTTTCTCTGAGAAACTGTGTGTTCTCCTAGTAATGTAAAATGTATCAACAGTAAATTACTAGGGTCGTTTTCCTCATTGTAATTTGCCTCTATAATGAAAAAAAAAAATATCAGAGGTGTATCCATCAATGTAACATACTGGAATATAACATAAGGGACAATATTCTCCCATTTGGGAAGGGAAAAAATGGAGGGGAGAGGGTTATCCCAGCAAAAAGCAGGGTTTTTTCCATCTCTTGCTTGGAAGAGATTCTTGGATTATATGCTTCCAAGCATAAAATTGCTTGGAAAAGGCAGTTCCTTGCTGAGGGAGGGAAGAGCAGCAAGTGAGCAAAAAGTGTGTCCGCTGAAGAAAGTGAGAGTTTTGCCACTGCTTTCAGTAAAACTGAATTTGCCTCTACTGTCAAGCCACATTTGTGTGGACACTGTGGAAAATGGAGTGTGCAGAGGGGATAAATGCAGCATTATGTGCCACTTGACTAAGGTATTGAATGTCACACTTGCTTTGGAGAAAACAGCTCTTTTTTCTGAATGTGTTTGAGAGCAAGTGGATGTAAAGGTTGATCGGGGGTTTGTCCACATATCTACGATGAGAAGGAGAAGAACAAGCTGTATGAACTTTTTCATTTAAAAGCATCTCCTTGCTAAGAAACTTGCTAAGTTTGCTTAGTGCCTGTGTGGTGTTTGAGCTAGTGCAGATAAGCAGAAGAATGGAGAGGGTAGGAGGGCCTCCAAAAACAGGGCACATCTGACTGAGAAACAATTTCCTTTTCTCAAGAGTGCTCAGAGTTGCTTTCTTCCCTGGATCCAGGGAGGTCACTGTTTCCCTTCCCCAACTTCCCCACAAAAGAAGGACATCGTAGACGCTTCATTTCTGGGGGGAGTTGCCTTTTCCAAGTGTCCTTTTTACTGCTGTTTGCATGCTCTTTATTGAATCTCCCCTGCGTCGGGTGGGAGGATGATGGAAAGAAACAGCAGCACATCATCCACCCCAGTTTACCGTGCTGAAAGCATGGTGGCTTTGGAGAAACTGCAGGTGAACCTTAAACCAGGTTCATGTCACGCGGGTGGGTCTAGAGGCCCCTTGTGAAGGCAGATGCCCAAGGAGGCTTTTCTCATTCTAATAGCGACAGGAGGCAGTTGCTGCCCAGGTACATTGACCAGCCCTTCTCCAAGGAAGCACTCGACAATTGAAGAAGAACTTGTAACAGCAGTGAAATTTCAGTCGTGGGGTAGGTCAATCTGGGAGCACTTCTGGCAGCAGCTGGCTTTTTCTCCTAAAAGGTAAAAAGCAGGGCTTTAGATCAGAGGCAACAGGATGCAAGCACTGCTTGTACAATTCCACTAGAGGAACTCACTGAGCATGTGGCTCCTGTTTAAAAGCCTAATTAGTGTTTTGTTTTGTTGACATGATCTCCCTATATCCTTGAGAAATCTGATCTGTGGATTGAGTGTTTCTTTGCAAGCTAACAAAATTAAAGCTGCTGTGAGCGAAGAGAATAAAAACAAGAGCTTGGAATAGAAGGAATCATTTGCTCTCTTCTTTAGAATGGTTCCCTTGCCACTTGGTTTCGTCTCAGACATCTTTTAACTTTTGCTTCTCTGTTCAGATTTTCCAGCTTCGTTGTGCAGTTGTAGAACTCACTTCTGCTATGTGAAAACATGGTGCAAAGTACTTAGGGGAAAAAAAATTGCTCCACTTATTTTTACTTATCTCAAATCCTTCAAAAGGTTTCAGAAGACTTCTTAAAATACCAGCAGTCCTCCCACAGTCATTAAAATTCTTCTGTTGCTGGCTGCCTCTTTCCAAGGAAATCCTCTTGAAGTTAAAATGTGATGGTGTTTGTTTCAGCAACTGTCGCAGAGAGGAGTTGTGTATTAAAAGGAATATGGCTCATGAAATCATTTGCAGGTCAAAGAAAACATGTGTTTCCTACTTTGTGTCTTCAGTGGCAGGAAAAGTCTGAAAACTAAGTTAAAAGATTGCTTTTGAGTGAAGAATTATTACATAAAGTTTTATTCCCTGTTGCTGTCACATTTAAGAAGCTTGGTGACCCATTGGTCCACAGAGCTGTTAATCACAGCATTTACATGAAAATATATTCTGTGTTGGACACACACTGTGTTTCTTGTCAACCTCTTTTTTGCTGCATGTTCTCTGAGATCTCTTGGTACCTTCAGGCTGGCTGTTAACTGGGATGCTCTAAGCTGGGCAGATAGCTGGCACAAGGAGGAAGGGAAGACCAATTAAGAGCTTTTTCAGTGATTCCTAAAAGCATGGACACCTGTCTGTCCATAGTGCACCAGCAAATGTGTTTTTTAAATAGTTGCCCCAAGATGACCATTGTTTTTTTAACTCTGTCTTTACAACGAGTCACAGCTCTGACTTAAACAAGCTGGCAGCAAAGGCTTGGTGTAGGTCACTGGGTGAAGAAGAAAGGACATGCTATGTTCATAGTACAAACTAAGCCTGGGTAACTTGGGTGTCAAAGGGGAGAGGACATATTTTCATGTTGAGTATATTAGTTCTGCTTCCCTTCCAAAGTAACTTTTCAATATCAGCATAAATTTCTCTCAGTATGGCATTGCACTGAGGTGAAACTTTTCGGGTCACTCTGAGGAGTATGTCTTTTAGTCTCTACCTCTGTGGTGGTCAGGAGCATTGGCCATGGTCAGTCTGGGTCCTAGGAGCATTCTATTACAGGAAACTCAAGTGGGCTCTGCTTCTGAAACAAGTTTTGTATCTTCTGACTTCTGTGGTGCCCCAGAGGTATGCTACCACATACCAGGTTTATCTACTGTAAAGCCAGCTGGGGTTCCTCTCTGTGACACTGACATCACCAGCTCTGTTCTCACTGCAGTAGGTGTCCACAGACCAAAACCACGCAGCACTTTCTGTACAAGAAGTAAAAGCCCACCCAGCAGGTTGTTCTCCCCAGGTGGGATTAAAGAGGAGCACCGCCAGCTGGAGAGGCTTTGATGCAAACATCCGTGATCTGTCTTTCAATCACTGTGAATCAGGGTGATGCAAAGCAGAGCTGGCAAAGCCACTTCTTCAGGGCGTCATCCCCACACCGTGACAAGGCGTGACCCGATCCTGGTTGTACCTGTCATTCCTTTGGGTCCCTCCTGACCATGAGACAGGATGGAGCTGGCAGCCTTAGCGGACTCACTCTTTTCCACCTGCTGCAGAAGTAACGTAGCCCAAATACAGGCTTTTCCTTTCTGGGCCTCTTAAGGGTTTTCCTTTTGAGCAATTTGCAATTGGAGTCTACCTGTCATGTCCTTTCCAACCAGTTCTTGCTGTTAGCAATCAGTTCGTATGCTGGTATCCACATGGAGGAGCTTTTCAACTGCAGTCTTATTTGTTCAGCCAAATTACCCAGGCTTCACTGTTTGATTGGAAAGGCCAGTTCCAATAGGCAGATACCTTAAAGAGTATTAACTCTCACACCTGTCCAGTGATGCCTCCTCAAGAAAAGGTGCCCTTATCTTTCCTCCCATTTTCTTCTTGTAGAGGATTTTCCAGTAAGTTATCACCCAACCACAGTTTTCTATCAATGAGAAAAACAGAGGTTCAGAGGTTGATATGAAAAAAAAAACAACACACCAGACAGAAAAACAAACAAGGATATTAAACTATACCACTGTCTTCTGTGGTATATGGAAATCCAACCCACTGATAAACTGCCAGCATTTTAACAAAAGCCTCCATGAAATGTTCCCATTTGCCTGTGATAAGCTTCTGATAACCAGAAGTGTATGTGGGAGACTCAGGAATCTGTTCATTTGTTTTCCTGTTTAAACAAAGTCATGTTTATAGCTCACAAGAATGGAGAGAGCCAATGAGGTTTGGAAAACAATTTTGCTATTAAGTGCACTTACTGTAAATGTTTAGAGGTTGTATCTAGTACAATAAAGTATTTAGCATGTGTGATATGGAGTGTGCAAGAAATAGCCTTCATGGGGAGAGCTGGTATTTTGGGTGTGGAGAGGAATTATTCAAAAAGCATGTCTGGAGGTACGGGCTGGTCTGTTCCAGGAGATAGCGTAGGGCTGAAACACAGGGACAAGAAAGGGGCAGGTTATCTCAAGTAAATCTCTTAATAATCAGTGCTGTTCCTGACTTCTACCTGCCCACCTTCTTTCCTTTCAAGTCCACATTTGCACCTTTTAACCCTAGGCCTCTTCTTGTTGCTACAGAGAAAAATTGTCCCGCACAGAGAAAGCAAACCTGCTGCTTCTTTTCCCTCTCCCTTTTCTTTCCTTTCTCCCTCTTCCCTTTCACTTTTCCTTTCTCCCTCCTTTTCCACTTCCTTTCCTTTTTTGCTGTACATGGACGTGTTTGTCCTAAAATGTGTTCCCAGTTTTCATTTAACCGTAGAAGGTCCTATGTTGACTAAAGCAAAGCTGGTTAGCTTATATATAGAAATGAATGTGTCCACACACAAATTTGCAAAGCCATGGGGAGAAGGAAGAACTGAGGGGGAAAAAAAAAAAAAAAAGTATTATTTCAATGCTGTTTGAGCATAGCTGGTTTAAGGCGCTATTTTTATGCTAATTCCCACTTCGCATTTTGAAGAAAAGAGGTTTTAGGTAAAGGGTTGATTAGCCCCCTGCCTTTTGTTAGAGAAGCTAATTGCTTACTTACAGAAAGAAACCGAGTGTCTGCTTCAGAAAATAAAGTTGGCATTCCTACGGTAAAATTGCAGCTCTGATCACACGGGGCATTATTAAGTACAGAACTGCAAAAAGGTCCTGAAACCCTGGTGATTCATGACGAATGCCCTGGTGCTGGGCTTTCCATGACATGGCATGTGTAATGTAAAGCAGCCCCATAGAGCTTGATTGCTGGACATAACGAGCAGAAAGCCAAAATACACAACTGCTAAATAAATCACACCTCGTGAAAACACACTGCAATGCCTCTGGGATTTTTTGTTTTAAGCCCTGGATCGCCATTTGCTGGCAAAGTCAGCAGTGTTTATATGGCAATCTGTTAATATTAAACACACAGCACGTGCAGGGATGCAGGACGCAGCCTCAGCGCACAGCAGGCAGGACACAGGGCAGGAGCTTGGAGAGCCAGGACGTTTGGCATGATGATGCCCAGAGCCCCCAGCACACTTCCCCAGCATGGCACGGGCCAACCCCACCATCCTGCTTCATGCCTTTTGAGATCTGTCCCACCAGGCCAGATGTGGCTGGGAGGACAGGACTGCCGCAGATCAGCTGGTCTTGGGAGGAGAAGATGTGCATCAGCCTCTTCCATTTTTGTCTAAAGCTTTCCTCTTCTTAACCACTTAGCTTTCACGTGGTTATGGATCTGCTGCTCCCTCCTGCCGTCATTGCACACTCAACCTCTTGACAGAATTTTTTGTCACCCTTCCAAAGAGCCCTTACAGCTCCTCCCTTGTGCTGCTTTTCTGTGCATCTCCTCCAGGTAGACTCAACCATCTCTGAATCAAGCTGCAAGGTTAACACCAGGTGCTTTCCACCACATATATGGTTTCCTTGTAATTCCCTGGGGCATGAAGTAGGAGATAAATACAATACGTAGAGAATAGAGAAGGGAAAAGTTGTGGGGAAGGAGGGAGGGAGGGACAACACCGGAAAGAACCCCCTATTTTCTGTGCGGGATTTGGTTTATGATCCTTTGAAAGGCTTTCTGGCAAGTTCAGGAGAGGATTTCCGTCATTGCACACTCAACCTCTTGACAGAATTTTTTGTCACCCTTCCAAAGAGCCCTTACAGCTCCTCCCTTGTGCTGCTTTTCTGTGCATCTCCTCCAGGTAGACTCAACCATCTCTGAATCAAGCTGCAAGGTTAACACCAGGTGCTTTCCACCACATATATGGTTTCCTTGTAATTCCCTGGGGCATGAAGTAGGAGATAAATACAATACGTAGAGAATAGAGAAGGGAAAAGTTGTGGGGAAGGAGGGAGGGAGGGACAACACCGGAAAGAACCCCCTATTTTCTGTGCGGGATTTGGTTTATGATCCTTTGAAAGGCTTTCTGGCAAGTTCAGGAGAGGATTTTGGGTTGTGGGTTTTGTTTTTTTTTTTTTCTCTTGGAAAGAATAATGCCCTTTACATGGCTTTTTTATTTTTTTGTGTGATGGAAGACTGTTGGTTTAGGTGTATTTCATTTATTAAGAGCTCAAAAGGCCAACTGAAACAAGGAGAAGCCTTACCATTTCCCATCCACACTCAACACAAAATTAAACTGTTTTTATATAAATGGTGTTTTACCACTAAAAGATTGAAGGATGCTTCAAGGACTGACATAGGTTATTTTTTTCACTTCTCCATTTTTCCAAGGTTCATGATATCTGGATATTTTAGTGCTTGTTCTACCACAGATTTTTAAGTTTGTACATTCTTCTTGTCCTCAAGTGTCTCTTTGCAATCCCGCTTTTTCAAAATATGTAAACACTCCTTAGTTCAAGGGAGTTACTCAAAAATGTGCCTGGTTTGAGCTAGTCCAGCTGCTCTTGCCTTCCAGACCCCTCTCCTATTTGCTCACAGTGAGGTCTGATTTTAAGCCACAACTAGATGCTAGCAAGTGACAATTATTTTGTTTAGAAATTCTTGTGTCAAGGGGGATGCCAATATCCTGTATATGTCCTTACAGCTAATGCAATATGCTGCAGGCAAGCTGGCTGCCCCTATGGCGTTTCTTAAAGAGGCACATCAGGAAAACAGACTTTCCTGAGCTGGACTGGGTTAAGGGTTTGAAAAAGATGACTGACTTTCCTTTTATTTTTGAAACATCATTCCTACATCTTTGCATGAACACGCTAAGGAGTGAGCTGTTGTTTAGTCTTCAGATCATCTGTCCTTCTCCTGCAGTTCAGATATATGCACACTGTCTGTGGCCTTGGTCCTCCCAGCAGTGCCAGTGGAAACTGTGGTGGGACGAGTGCTTGACCTGGGACAGGCACGGGGCAGAAGGAGGAGAAGGTTCATCAAAGGGCTCAGGAACAGTCCAGCTCTGGCCAGCACTGGCTTGCACTGACCCACTGCTATCACCAATGCCCTGTGGGCCCCTAGGCCACAGCTTGGCAGTGCTGACCTCTCATTTTAGAGGTCAACAACATACAGGAGGAGGAGGAGCAAGAGGAGGAGCAGGGTTCTGAGCCCATGTCTGAGGAAGAGAAGGGTGAAATCATGCTCCTGTAGACATCTACAGAAGTCTGGTTCTTTGCATTACTTGTACTCATGGCTCTTTTTCCCTTCCATGTCACTTGGTTTATCTATCTCAGATGTCCAGGTGGGAACATCCCTCTAGGGTCATAAAGTATCCAGCACATGGGCCCCTGCAACAAACTTAGACTTTTGGGGTTGCTGGCCAAAGGGTCATGCACTCACAAGTAAGGACAGTGATGGCACCAGTGCCCTCATCCCTCCTCAGCCAGTAGAGAGACAACTTCCAAGTTTTGGGGGAGGAGCGGCAGGTCCTGCTTGACTAACCTAATCTCCTTCTATGACAAGGTGGCCAGCTTAGTGGATGAGGGAAAGGCTGTGGATGTTGTTTACCTGGACTTTAGTAAAGTTTTTGACACGGTTTCACACAGCATTCTCCTGGAGAAACTGGCTGCTTATGGCTTGGATGGATGTGTTCTTTGCTGGGTGAAAAACTGGCTGGAACCCAAAGAATGACAGTGAATGGAGTTAAATCCAGTTGGTGGCTGGTCACGAGTGGTGTTCCCCAAGGCTCAGTACTGGGGCTGGTTCGGTTCAATATCTTTATCAATGATCTGGATGAGAGTATCAAGTGCACCCTCAGTGAGCTTGCAGATGACACCAAGCTGGGTGGGACTGTTGATCTGCTGGAGGGTCGGAAGGTTCTACAGTGGGATCTAGGCAGGCTGGATCAATGGGCCGAGGCCAATGGTATGAGGCTTAACAAGGCCAAGTGCTGCGTCCTGCATTTGGGTCACAACAACCCCATGCAGTGATACAGGCTTGGGGAAACATGGCTGGAGAACTGCCTGGCAGAAAATGAACTGAGGGTTTGCTTGACAGCCAGCTGATTGTGAGCCAGCGGTGTGCCCAGATGCCCAAGAAGCCCAGTAGCATCCTGTATCAGAGACAGTGTGGCCAACAGGACCAGAAAAGTGATTTGTCCCTCTACCTCACCTCTACTGGGCACTGGTAAGGCTGCATCTCAGATACGAGGGTCAGTTTTGGGCCACTCACTGCAAGAAGCCATTGAGGTGCTGGAGTGGCCCAGAGAAAGGCAGCAAAGCTGGTGAAGGGCACAAGTCTTATGAGGAGCAGCTGAGGGATCTGGGCTTGTTCAGCCTGGAAGAAAGGAGGTTGAGCGGAGACCTTATCACTCCCTACAAGTACCTGAAAGGAGGTTGTAGTGAGGTGGGGGTCAGTCTCTTCTTCCAAGTAACAGGAAACAGGACAAGACAAAATGGCCTCAAATAGTGCCAGAGGAGGTTTAAGATGGTTATTTGGAAAACTTTTTACAGTGAAAGGATTATCAAGCATCAGAACAGGCTGCCCAGGGAAGTGGTGGAGTCACCATCCCTGGAAGTATTTAAGACACGTAGATGTGGTACTGAGGGACATGGTTTAGTGGTGGACTTGGCAGTGTTAGATTAATGGTTGGAATCGATGATCTTTTCCAATGTAAATAGTTCTATGATTCTACAAAAGGTCATTCTGGGACCCCAGCTTTTGTGGTCTGATGCAGGTGGGCTGGTGGCGATGAAGCACTTGCCTGTGAGGGAGGGAAGCCTTGCGCCAGGAAAGGGGCATCCGGGAACAAACACATCAAGCTTGTGCAGACCCACAGCAGCAGGGGACCATGCTGGAAATGGCAGGTGCCAGCAGTTCAGAAGCACTAGTCGTCCTTGTGGATTATCATTCCTCAAAAACATAGCTCAAGGGTAAAAAAAAAAAAAAAAAAAAAAATCAGCAGATTTTCGATAAAGTGGAAATCCTGCTTTTCAGTCCACATGGTTAAAGGCACAAGTCATGCACACCTGATCTACAAGAGGGAGCACACAAGAAAGTAAAGTGGGAACTGGGGGCCTGGACTGTCAGACCTTTTTCTCATCAGCTGGACACATGCTTGGTGTCTGTGCAGTGATGTCTATTTTGGTCCAGGAACACCAAGCATGTTTAATGACTTATTCTAAGTGCACAAATAAAACACAATTGCGACACAGGCAACGGTTTTGCTTAGACAAACTCCATGAAAACTTGCAGGATTAGAAGACTTTCATTTGAAAGGGTGGGGTTTTTTTATTGTTCTTTTATATTTCTGTGAAGAAAACTGACAGACACTGGGCAGCATTACTTTATTTTTTTCTAAGCAGAACACACCCTGAGTCTGAGTAAGTGCTCCAAGACCCTGGAAAAGCCCAAAGAGCAAATGTAAGGGGAGAATTTTTTTTTTTTTTATCACCACCCACAGATGACACTTTCCTTTTTAAATAAACCATGTAAACCTGAAAGCTTTGGAATCTGCCCTGTGCCCAGTGAGCTGAGGGAAGGGGATGTTCTACCCCAGCTTCTACTCAGTGATGGCTGCAGGGGTGCAGAGGGAGGCAGGGACCAAAGGGTCTGTGGAGGGCAGGGGGGACCCCCATGTCTCTCTGCGAGAAGAAGTCAGCCCAGGCAGGTGGCTGTGCCAGGGAAGCCTTGCCAGGAAGAGCAGCAGCAGTTGAGCCAGGGCCACGTTGGAAAGGGAACGTGGCGAAAAGTGTTTGCAAGCAGTGATATGAAATGGAGCCAGGCTGGACAACCCTCTTCCCCGCCTTCAGCATTTTGTGAAGAGGTGAAATCCCTGTTGGGCTACATCAGAACCTCACTAGATTGGGATGGAAGGAAGGATAAGGTTATAATGGACCCATAATGTGGATTATAATGATTGCAAAGAGCAGGGCTATAAATTTTT